CATAATGGCTAACAAGTATCGTTATTGGGAATATCCTAATTTAGTAATTTTTTGACTATTTGGCTACAATATGAGCTAAAAAAAATTAGTATGTTTGAGATAACTTTTTAGCTTTTTCTGAAAAGATGTGCAAAAAGTAGAGAGAAAAAAGAATCTTTGACTTTTTAGTATGAATTGTTGACTTTTTAACTAATTTAATAATTTTTTAACTTTTTAATTAAAAAATTCGATTGCCAAATGAGGCCTAAATAGCTTCGGTAGTTTGGTACGATAGCTCTATTATAGCTCCATTACCAATGCAGCGTAGCAATATCGTTATAAGTTTGACAAAATAATTGAACCCACTAAAATTCGCCACTGGTTGCTGGTGCATCTACCTCTGAATTTCTTGCTTTTTGAGGAACATATGTCCTTGCTTCACTTACCTTCACCCCCTCGTCTGCATTCACGCACATTTCAACACATTTGCTCCATTTTTATACTACTAATAATGTGAGAGAGAAAGAGAGAGTGTTACTGAGTGCCTATTTGAAAACATTGATTAAAAGTTGCGTTTCGCAGCTTGTACAAAACAATTAGATTAATTTTTTTAATATAAAAATTATTTGGGAAGGTTTAAAAAAGTTACATGTGAAATTATAATTATATTCTCTATGTTGTTTAGGATTATACATGGATAAAAATATAAATTTTTTAAATTAGGTAGGGATAATTTGATCATTTTATTGTGATGTGACATCATAAACAAATATTAATCAAAAAAATCAAAATCAATTTATTATCAATTTCGCAAATCACTTTATAAGAAAATTAAAAAAGTAAATAAAAAGTTAAAAATTAATTTTTAACTATTTTCCCAAACATTCAAAGCTTAGTGAAGGAGCAACAAGAGTCCAAACGATCACTTTCCCATGACTAGCAGCAAGTTCTTTACTTGTGTTAAATTTGTGACAATATATGATTTTAAACACATGAACACGCTTTAATACTGTTTGCTCAACTAAGAAAGAAGGGAATAGCCTAAACTTACAACAAATGGGAGGCCATGTTTCTACACTTAAAAAAATTGGCTACTTGTAATTAATATAATATATGCTCGATGGTGTTCTAATGTACGTTTTAAAAATAATATTAAAATATTGTTATACAAATAATTTTATCAACTTTTTTTTACGATTTGATGCCGCAAATATAGTACTATTACAATCAATTTTGTTTCAAATTTAAAAGTTTTACAAGTGGATGTCAGGTCAGTAAATAAATTTTATAAAAAAAAAATTATATTTTTTCTAAAATTTATATAGTATTTTTCTTTTGTTAATGAATGATATTTTCTTTAATTACTTCAAGGTAGAAATTTTACTTAAGACGGTATAGGTAAGAATATCAGGTCTTGTTTGGTTTAACTCTCAAAACACAATTTTTATAAAAAAAATTCAAAATTTTGTTTGGTTGAAAATCACTTTTTCTCTCCTACATATCAATTAATCACTTTTTCTCTCACATCTCATTTTCAATCACTTTTTCTCTCACACACATCTATTCAACTATAACAAAATATCAAATCATCCCAAACTTCTATACTCTAAAACTATTTTCAAAATATATAACCAAACAAACCAAAAAAATTTCTAAACTCTTTCCTTAAGATTTTTCTTTTTTGAAAATTTATCTCTCAAAATCAAACAAAACACACTCTTAAGTGTCGTTTTGGCAACACAGCCAAAACGCAGCTTTTTGTTGCCCAGGCCAAAAACGCCACACACACCCAAAACGCCAAAAAGTCCATTTGGGAAGACCAAAAACGCAACACCCAAATTTACCAAACTATCCTTGGAACATTTTAATTAAATAATTTAAAAATCAAAAAGTGAGGATATTTTGGTCATTTTGGAGTGATGTGACACTTTTAAAAAAATATTAAACAAAATATCAAAAAAGACAACTTTTTACCAACTTCTCAAAACAGCCCTAAGTCTTCGTTTGACATTTTTTAGTTGGTTTTTTTATATTTGGATTTTTTTAGCATGACTTTTTTAGCCTTGTTTGATTTGGTTTTTTTTTATTTTTTTATTTTTATGAGATAAAAAGTGTAATGATTATTATTTGGATGTGATATTTTATCTTATTAACTTATGTAGTTAATTTTGCCTTTTTGTATTTTTTTGTGCATTTTTTTTTTTTTTTTTTTTTTCCTTCACAGACACCTTGAATAATAATTCATATTACTGCTGACACAATATGAATTATTATTCTTAATATAAAAAGAAGAGAAGTAGACACTTGTATACTCCAAAATTATTTCTAAAAAATATAACCAAATAAATTTAAAAATTTTCTAAATTTTTTCCCTAATTTCTTTTTAAAAATTTATCTCCCAAAATCAAACCAAACACACCTCACGACTTCTAGTCATTCTATCTCTAAACCTCTTCTCTTTTTCAACGAGTTTCATTGCTTGGTACCCTCTTCCTTTTTTCAACAAGTTTCCAGCCTCCAATAGACATCAACTATTTTATGGAATCGGTTAAGTTTGTTTTATATTTGCCTTAAATTTTTATTTATTTATTTTATTTTTATTTTTTGGGTAGCCAATATACTAAACTTGGAAGACAATAAATAATAAAATATAGGGTAATTTATAAATATATTCTATGAAATTTGCTTAAAATATGGATTGTCCTTTATGGTTTTAAAAATTATAAATATCTTATTGTCAGAATTTTTATTTAACAGAATTAATAGAAAAAATAAAATTTCTAACTACTCTTTTATACAATGAAAATAAATTACTACTTGAATTGTTAATTAAAATATATTTCTGACATTATAAAAAATTACTAATTAAAAATGATGATTTATTAATAAAATGAATTATTTATTATGTAATTACAAACTTAAAGGGATAGGATATAATTTTTGAAATTACAAAATAATCCGTATTTTATATAAACTTCAAAGGGTGTTTGTAATTTATCCTAAAATCTGTTATTATATATTGTGGAGGGTATTAAATCTATCCAGCATGGAGGGACTCTTGACTCACAACAAATGGGAGGCCATGTTTCTACACTTAAAAAAAAAGTTGGCTACTTGTAATTAATAGAATATATGCTCGATGGTGTTCTAATGTACATTTTTTAAAAAATATTAAAATATTATTATAAAAATAATTTTATCAACTTTTTTTACTATTTGATGCAGCATATAAGTATTATTATAATCAATTTTGTTTCAAATTGAAAGATTTATAAGTGCATATCATGTCAGTAAATAAATTTTTAAAAAAAATTAAATTTTTTTAAAAATTTATATAGTATTTTCCTTTTTTTAATGAATGATATTTTCTTTAATTACTCCAGAAAATTTTCCTTGAGATTGAATAGGTAAGAATAAATAGATTTTAGATTTCTGTTATCCTCAATATCTCATATTAAGGTCAAGTTTGGCATAACCTAAATAATACAAAAAGTCAAAAAGTCACTATTCTATTTAAGTCACATCATCTTATTTAAATCACATCACCTCTCTAACACATCACATCAAACCCAACCCAAACCCAACCCATATAAACCAATAAGTTAAAAAGTGTACTTTTTTATAACATCCCAAACCAACCCTAAAACTTTTTAATTTATAATTTTTTATTACTTAATTAATAACGTTGCACCTAAATAAATGGGTCCCCCACAGATCATCTAAGCCTATATATATATGATCATTAAAAAAGAAATTGAAATTCAATTATTTTGATACGATCAAAAGAAGAGTTTGAAAAAGATGCATTGTCCAGAGATTGCATCTTTAACACGACATTCTTGTTGTTCAAGCTTCATGTATCAAATTTTAATTTGAATTCATGAATCTAAACTTAAACTGAATATTAAATCATGACAGAAGTCAGATTGGAGACTGGAGAAAGTAAGTAATTATCTCAAAAAAATTCTCCTAGGATTTTTTTTTTTTCCACACACATTCTCAAGTATCCAATATAACTGCTGATACAATATGAATTATTCTTAATATAAAAAGAAGAGAAGTAGACACTTAGCCTTCGTTTGGCAATGACTTTTTTAGTTGGCTTTTCAACTTTTTTGACTTTTTTAGCCTGAGATTTTCTTGCTCGTTTGGTATTCTTGATTGACTTTTTTAGTTTTTTAGCTTTGGAATGGTGGATTTTTTTTGTCTTTTTGTGATTTTTGACTTTTTGTGATTTTTTGACTTTTTTTTATCCTTTCATGATTATTTAGCCCAACACAAAAACCAAATTGCTTGACAGCAAAGACATAAGACATCGATCATTCTCTATCTCTAAACCTCTTCTCTTTTTCAACGAGTTTCATTACTTGGTAACATCTTCCCTTTTTCAACAAGTTTCTAGCCTCCAATAGATACCAACTATTTTATTGAGTCGGTTAAGTTTGTTTTATGTTTGCCTTAAAATTTTATTTGTTTTATTTTATTTTTATATTTTGGGTAGCCAATAAAATAAAGTTGGAAGACAATAAATAATAAAACATAGGTAAATTACAAATATACTGCATGAAATTTGTTTAAAATATGAATAGCCCATTATGATTTTAAAAATTACAAATATCTCATTATCAGAATTTTTATTGAACAGAATTAATAAAAAAAAAAATATTTTAACTACTCTCTTAAACATTAATAATAAAATTACCTAAATAATTAATTAAAATATACTTCTAACATTATCAAAAATGATTAATTGAGGTAATGATTCATTAATAAAATAAGTCATTTGTTATGCAATTACAAACTTAAAAGATAAGATGTAATTTCTAAAATTATAAAGAATAATTAGTATTTTAAACAAATTTTTAACCTCTTTACCGAAAAAAGGCTTTGTGGAGGGTATAAATCTATCCAGCGCAGTGGGACTCTTGACTCACAACAAATGGGAGGCCCTGTTTCTATAAAGTAGTCAGAGTAAGCATCCAGCATCTTCAAAAGAAAAAGAAAAGATTTCCATTCCAGAATGGCTAAACAAGGTTTCAAGTATAATAACCACAAAAAACCACATTACTTCTATACAATTCTACTTTTAGATTCCTCAATATGAAACTAACATCCACAAGTAAAACTTCAAGAAGAATTTGAAGAAAAGAAACAAATAATCCCTAATCTGTTCGATTAATCTGATACTAGAATTTGAAAAAAAAGAAAAGTATATGCATCCAATCAAATTCGCACAAGGTCAAGTCTACCATGGCCGGTTCTGTAAATTGGAGCTGACAACCCTCGAGCAAGTGAGCCGGACCTGTCCTTGAGATCCAGTTAGAACGCCAAGGTTAGACATCTTCACCATGGCCCTTGTAAAATCAACCCGAAAGGTTGTGCCATCATCAGATGCATAAGCTCTCACTAGATCAGTAGTCTCTTGACTGGCCATCAACTGCTGATCAGCAAAGAGAAGTCCTCTGCCTTTCAGCAATTTTTTGTAGTAATGAGCATCAAAGACTGATCCTGATGAAATTGCAGAATCAAGTGCTATCCCCATTATACTCCTGGATCTCACGGGGGTAGGAGCAGCTCCATCGGACGAAGTGCTATTCCCATTGCCGCAAATCATGCTGATCTCCAAAAGAAAATCAGAGGGTATAGATGGGTCAGGCCGTCCAGTTCGCATAAAATTGTTAAGTCTTGGTCGGATGAAGTCGCAACCGATCTTCCCAATGTTATGCCCACCTTCAAAATAGAAATATTTCAGTTTAAAGCTATGAGTGGGAATTCAATTCAGTAAAGTTAATATGATCTGAATAAGAATAATAAAGAATGAGTAAATACCGAGAAGAGCCACGGTTTGTCTGGTCGTGAATCCTCGGAGAGCAAATAGCCTAAGCGTCTCTGAGATATTGCCATCAGGCCTGGGTATCTCAGCCGTGGCTTGGGCAAAATACGACCGGTTGCTGTCCCTCCTTCCTGTAAAGACCGGATAGAATGGGCCACCAGCCTATATTTTTTACAAGAAAAAGATAATAGGACACATCAGATTACAGGCCACAATGCAGGAAAGGGTCGACAGAAAAATAAGCAAAGTCTGGTAATTTAATAACATTTGTTATCTTATATTCATAAAAATTGCTTCAAGAGAACTCAAACAAAGTTAAGAAAACTAAAGAGGAGAAGATCAATTAAACAAAAAGACATTATGAAAGAGAGAACAACCGAGAAAGACAATAATATCCCAAACTGATGGCAAATAAGGCTAAAATGTGGGGCTATTACCCTTCAATAACAGGAAATTGTGAGGACTGCATATTCATTTCTAAGGACCAGCTAAAACGCATAATCCCAACAAGTGATGCTCTTCAAGCATGGTTAACCAACACTATACTTCTAAAATTCAGTTCTAAGCCCTAACCATAACTCCCAACACAAAGATTATAAAATTTCTAAACCCCAAAGGTAGTGGTGCTTGTATCAATCTTAGTAAGACTAATTTAGTTTGTTGAATTTTATTATTAACTATGGCAAACTTAACAGTGGAGAAATTAATGCGTATACTTAACTGGTTTTCCAGAAACGTTACAAGGTTAGAAGAATATGAAAAATATTATCAATCAACAAGTAGAAAAGGAAGAGAGTACATACAAGGACAATGGCATCTCTAGTGGCAAGAACAAGAATGTCAGCGCAAGATACAATTCCTGGGCAAGCATCTTCAAGCTCTTGTTTGATGGTATCAATATAATCGAAGCCCTTCAATGTCCTGTTGGGAGTGGCATCTTTCTCAGCAGAGTGATTTGCGTTCCTGTTGCTGTCATTTAGGAGCACTGAAGCATCACAACCCTGCAAACAAAAGGTAAAAACCCCACACAACAATCAAAAACAATGAAGTTATCCCAGATCAGAATTACAAAGAAACCCCAACATATGCACATAATCAAGAAGAGAACCCATTTGAAATGAACAAAATCAACTAATTCAAGAAGAAGAGGCAACATAATTTTAAGACAAATAATCCTAAAAGCCAATAAAAAGAAAAGCTCAACAGCCAGATTGTAGTTTAGATGAAGGAAACAGAGGCGTTATTGAAACCCGTTTGAACAATGAAGTTATCAGATCAGAAATACGAAGAAACCCAACAATATGCACACAATCAAGTAAAGAAACTCAATACCCAGATTAAAAAAAGAGAACCCAATTCGAAGGAACATAATCAACAGAATTTAAAGAAAGCTAATCCTAAAAGCCAAGAACAAGAAAAACCAGGATTATAGTTTGGATGAAGAAAAAAAAAAGAACCCCAATTGAAGAGAAATGTGAGATGCAAGAAGAGAGAGTAACATACGACAAAGGAAAGGGCATTAGATTAGGGCAAAGCAAACAGTGGAATCAAAAACAAAAAAGAAATCAATACGAGAAATATACTATACCTGAATGAAGCAATCGTGGAAGAAGAGGCGGAGGAGTTGAGCAGTGGAATTCTTGTTTCGAACCAATATTTGCGCCATGGTCGATCTCACGATCTTCTCAGCTTGTGGGCACTTTTCTCTGTAAAACTCATATTGTAGACTTGAGATTATGTGTGTCCGTGAAGGAAAGACGCTTTCTTGTTCTTCAGTTGCGGAAGACGAATCCAAGGAAACAGTCGGAGAATCGGAAGAAGAAGAAGCAGAGGGAGGATTGAGATTGATAGCCGCAGCAAGAACAGAGACCATCACCACCACCATGAATACCCATCCACGAGAAACCGTGCTTGACATGATTGAAACTATGTTTTTTTTTTTCGATCAGACTCAAAGCAATTTGATAAATCAAACTTGGATTGGGAGAAACAAAAAAAAATAATAAAGGCGGGAAACAGGTATTTGGGGAGCTGAGTTGGGGTAGATAATAAGAAAGAAAAAGAGAGAGGTTTTGGGTGGTTGGGTTAACCGTTATGCATACAGGCCCACACTCATATACAATCATGGGGAAATTGCGAAGAAGTCTCCTTTGAAAAACATATAATCTATTTAGGTCAAGTTGATAAATTGAAAAAAAGTTAAAAGTCAAAAAGTTACTCAAAAAATTAAAAAGTTATCACTCTTCACCAAAAGTCAAAAAGTACAGCTGCACAATTTTCAATTCTAATTTTTTCCTGCACACTAATTTATACAATTTTTTAATACACATTTTTCCATAAAAAGTCAAAGTTAACCCAAACATCCATATTTTTTTCCTCAATTTTTTAGTCCAAAAATACAAAAAGTGCACTTATTTAGGACACCCCAAACAACTCCTTAGTCCCAAAACTTTTTGTTTGTACCCAAAAGTCCAATAACTTTATTCTTCTTCTCTAACTTTCTTCTTCTCTTTGTGATTTTCAGTGATCGTTGACGGGTAACCATATCTTGCTTCTTCTCTTTTCTCTTTCTCTTTCTGATATATAGTCACCGGCGACCAACTACTACCATTGATTGGAATTCACCGACAACCACCGATCGCCGACTCCTTACCTCACCGACGGTAAAGAAGATATGTTTCCAACGAAGAAGATGAGTAGATCTACTCAGATCTGATGTAGTACATTAGATCTGATGTAGTACATTAGATCTGAGTAGATCTACATCAAATCCAACTAGATCTAAACAAAAAATAGTTGCCGGAGTACAATCATCTCTCTCTATTCGCCTCTCTCCTTCGATCTCTTTTTTTTTTTTTCATTTTCTCTGCTATACACTTCTCTTTTTTTGTTCTAATGAAGAAAATTTTCAAATTCTGAACAAGTAGTTTTCGAGTTTTAGTTACAGGCGGTGAAAACTATAAAATTTTGCAGTTTCAAAATTTTTTTTGTGCTAGAATGAATCAAGGTTTAAAACTATAAAATTTTGCAGTTTCAAATTTTTTTGGTGCTGGAATGAATCATGGTATAAAACTGTAAAATTTTACAGTTTCATAACATGTTTTTCAGTTTGATTAATAAGAATAAATGCTTAATAAATTTTTGCTTTGAAACTGTAACATTTTACAGTTTCGAAACTTATTTTTCAATTTGATTAATATTGAAGATTATTTGCTTAAACTTTACAAAAATTGAAAAATAGCATATGTTTTTTTCTATTGTTGCTGTTTTTTGTCGTTTCATTTGTTTTGCTTTTAGTTTATCAATATTTAGCACATTTTACTATGTTTTTTCGCTCTAATTTCTCCATTTATTCTTTTTTTTTCAGCAATATTTTAGAAATTCCGGTGAGTCTCCAGTGATATTCTTAACGTCCAGTGAACGTTCTGAACATTCCGGCGACTTCCATTAACGTTCTTAACACTCCGGTGAACTTCCGGCGATACTCCGGCGACTTTCCGGTGATGTTGAACATTCCGACGAGTCTTCGGCGATTGTTTGACGGAAGTCCGACGGTAGTAAGATGTAACAGTGTCTGCAAATTTAAAAAAAAAAAATAGAATTTTTTGGAAACAATTAAAAATGTATATGACTAATTGATGCAAGTGTTTTGTTTGAGGATTAGCTGGGTCTTGAACTTTGTACATGGGACTTATCAATAAGTTCTCCTACAATCATTTGTTTGGAATATGACCGTTTGGGATTGGAGCATAAGACTGGACTGGACTCGACTGGGCTATCATTTTGGCCTAGGGAGTTCTCACCACCAGGCTCATTCCTATAATTTGATTTGTTTAAGTTGTAAAACAAATTAGATTGATGATGTAATTATTATTATATATTTTATTCATTATTTTTTAAAAAAAAATAAACGATAAGTATGATTTTGAAAATAAAGTATATTTTATATTTTATTTTATTTTATTTTAAATATGACAAATGTAATGAAATAATATGGTATGGTAACAATTATTGAATCAATTACATAGGGGCTTATGAAATGAATTAATTGAATTATTAAAGTGGATATAGAGTCCATGGACCATGTAAAACTGTAAAATTTTGCAGTTTCATAACATTCTTTAGAACTGTAAAATTTTACAGTTTCATAACATGTTTTTCAGTTTGATTAATAAGGATAAATGCTTAATAAATTTTTTCTTTGAAACTGTAACATTTTACAGTTTCAAAACTTATTTTTCAATTTGATTAATATTGGAGATTATTTGCTTAAACTTTACAAAAATTGAAAAATAGCATACGTTTTTCCCATTATTGCTGTTTTTTGTCGTTTCATTTGTTTTGCTTTTAGTTTATCAATATTTAGTACATTTTACTATGTTTTTTTGCTCTAATTTCTCTACTTATTCTTATTTTTTCGGCAATATTCTAGACATTCCGGTGAGTCTCCAGTGATATTCTTAACGTCCAGTGAACGTTCTGAACATTCCGGCGACTTCCATTAACGTTCTTAACACTCCGGTAAACTTCTGGCGATATTCCGGCGACTTTCCGGTAATGTTGAACATTCCGACGAGTCTTCGGTGACTGTTTGACGGAAGTCCGACGGTAGTAAGATATAACAGTGTCTGTAAATTTAAAAAAAAAAAATAGAATTTTTTGGAAACAATTAAAAATGTATAGGACTAATTGGTGCAAGTGTTTTGTTTGATGATTAGCTAGGTCTTGAACTTTGTACATGGGACTTATCAATAAGTTCTCCTACAATCATTTGTTTGGAATATGACCGTTTGGGATTGGAGCATAAGACTGGACTGGACTCGACTGGGCTATCATTTTGGCCTAGGGAGTTCTCACCACCAGGCTCATTCCTATAATTTGATTTGTTTAAGTTGTAAAACAAATTAGATTGATGATGTAATTATTATTATATATTTTATTCATTATTTTTTAAAAAAAAATAAACGATAAGTATGATTTTGAAAATAAAGTATACTTTTTATTTTATTTTATTTTAAATATGACAAATGTAATGAAATAATATGGTATGGTAACAATTATTGAATCAATTACATAGGGGCTTATGAAATGAATTAATTGAATTATTAAAGTGGATATAGAGTCCATGGACCATTTTTCGTAGACAAGTATCATCAAAACATATGGATATGTTCATTAGATCAATTTGTTATTTTTCATGAATAATTTACACGTACACATTATTTAAACAAAACAAATAATTTAAATCATTAAACCAGGACCTTTAAGAATATCATAAAATCCAACAACAACTCTAGTCTACAAAGCAGACAAAAAAGAAACCAAACCTTAACAAAAACATGTTTATTTATGACGACCAAGTACATCTAAAAGCTCACCTCTTTTTTTTTTCTTTTTTTCTTCTACTTTCTTTTCATTTTTTCAATTTTTTTTTTTTTAATCTACAACCCTTAAAAAATTCTAGGAATTAATTCATCATCTATTGTTATGCTTTATACTCACTAGTGGATGTACATTAGTAATCTGCTAAATAAAAAATTCTAACAATAGGATATTTATAATTTTTCAAATCACAGAATGCAATTCGTATTTTAAGCAAATCTCAAGAGGTATATTTATAATTTATCATGTTCTTTTGAAATATTTTATAATTCATAGCTTTTTTCATTTACTAATGGTTAGTTTTTGTAGTGATTTTTTAACTTTTTAAAGGCATACAAAAAAATAAGGAAAATATATTGACTTTTTGACTAATTTAACTTGTTCTCCAACAACTCCTAAAGATGACACAAAGTGATGAAAGTGAAACCCAATTATATGGGTAAAGTGTTTGTTAATTTACAGAGTAAGTGTATGCTCTAATAATGTATTTAAATACTAGAAAATTTTACTATATAAACCTTCTATCATATGCACTCTTAAATTATGTTTTTTTTTTTTTAGTTATGATCAATTTTTTTCTTTAGTTATAACTTTATTTTAGTTATAACTCATAAGATTTTTAGTTATGCCTCATATTTTTTGTTTATTGTGACTTTTTTTTTATAGTTATGACACAAAAAGTATAAAATTATAAAAAAAAATTATTTAATTACAAGGTCCGTATACTAATCTTTAAAGTGTGTAATATGTTCATTGTCTTCATACATAACACAGTCAACCAATTACAAAAAACAAAAAACAAAAAATTAAAGTTAATCTCTTTATGATTTTTTCTCATTTGAATGACGCAAATTCTTATCTTAAATTTTGCACAACAAATCAAACAATACTGATTTGTTCTGTATCTGATATGTTTCTTTGCAAGATTTGCAATTATATTCTCAATCTTATGCCACGAAAGGTAGATTTTTTTTTATAGAATCATCATATATAATTTTTTTTAATGTGTTAATATTGTACTACTTTTTAAAATGTTTGTACATATTTTCAGTTTGATTTTAAGTTATTATTAATGTTATTCTTTAATTTAAATTTTTTTTTCGTATATCTTTTTCACAACATTATTTTAATAATTTTTTTAAATTACACACACATTGTGCGCTCCACCTCTAGTATATCTAATACTATGTCATGTTAGTCAGGGAGTTTGGGTGGGACACTCAATTGTTCTTTTCATACTTTGATATACGCATACGCTTGATGTGGGAAGGGAAACCATTCCATTGCCCAACCAGTCATTTTTTTTAATTTTTTTGTTTCTTTTCCACAAGGTAGAAATGTTATTAAGTTAATAAGTAGATTATTAGACAGGAGTGAGTTGCTTGATGATGAAAGAGTCAGTTTCAACTTCCAAATTCTCCATCCAAAGCTAATTTTAGGCCATCCCTTAGTGCCCAGAACTCTGCCACCACGCTGGAGGTGTGGCCGATATTTCTGCTAAAGCCCACAACCCAATGGTCCAAGTGATCTCTAATCAGACCCCCAGCAGAGGCTTTCCCAGGTTTAGCCTTGGACGCACCGCCGGTATTGAGTTTGAGAAAACTGGGACTTGGCGGTTTCCATTCCATTTGACAAGGATCTCTGTAGGTGGCTTATCCGTAGGAACAGGATTAAGGTGATGCCACTCCT